AAGGGGCAACGGGCACAATCTGAAACTCGGGAAGTTCCATCTGTACTTCTGTACTTTGAGGGTGTCTGAGCACTGGCACAGGCTGCCCAGAGAGGCTGGGGGGGCTCCCTTTCCTGAGGTATTCCAAAACTCCCCGTCTCTGGAGATATTCAAAACCTGCCTGGACGTGATCCTGTGCAACTGCTGTAGGTGACCCTGCTTTGGCAGGGGGGGTGCACAGGATGATCTCCAGAGGTCCCTTCCAACCCCGAGCACTCTGTGATTCTGTGAATATAATTCGTTACAAGAGAAAAAAAAATAATCAAGTTTTTGCTCTCTTATTCTCCACTCCTATATGAGTAGAACTCAGAATAATTGTATGTTAGTACGATGTCTGATGAAATATGATTTGAAATAACATCTAGTGAGAGTTCACATCTAGTGATACCAACTGGAACACTGAAATGGGTGGGAGTTTTTAGCACTGATGTGAACAGATGTAGCATTTCAGCAAAATATCAATGAAAACAATCTGAATATATATTTGAAGGAAAAATATGATTCTGTACATACATATTTTTTTCCTGCAAAATAAATGCTTTTTGTCCATCTATTTTATCTTCACGCTACTTAAAAGCAAAACATTGTAAGAAATGGACACGGCTCTTTGAAGCAGTAAGGGAAATACATACCACAGCCTGCTTCTCCAGGCAACTTCTATTATGTATATACCTTGTTTCCTACTGGATTTGTATTTGACCTGTTATACCCTATCTCACATATTCAACCTAATGCAAAACTAGACTGACAGAAAGGCAGCTTTCACAGTGACACCCTTTCAGCTGCAGCATTAGATCAAAGCAACCTTTCAGTAAAAGTCTCTTTTCTACACGCTTCTGCATCAATGCAATACTGGCCATTATGGGAAAGATTTTTTTAGCAGACTTAAGATAAAATGAAAAACAAATGCCTGTAAAGTCAGCTGTTGACAAATGCCACAGAGTTATTGGCTTCCAATACTCATCCTATTCATTCAAAATAAAGACATATGGTAACCTTGTTAATATCAAAATATTAGCTAATGATATTTCCAATGGCAAAACCATACATCCAATCCACAGTTGGATGCTCATAGACCCACTGTGTATCAAAAAACCTTCAAAACTTGTTATAAAGAGATGCACGCAGATTTTGGTGCATCATCTAAACAAGTTTTGGCTGCTGTACTGTCTTCGGTCCTTCAAGGAATATTGTGTTTGTCACGAACCTTGTGTAATTTGATTTTAAGCAAGAAACAAGACAGCAGATTTAGAATTGATGCCTATGAGTCTCTATAAATGTGTTGGAAGAAAAAAAATCAGAAATCCTTGTCCCAGCCTGAAAGTTCATCTGGAGGGGTTCCCTCTTCAGGTGGATAGCTGTCAAAGTAGCTGTAATCAGTTGGTCCAGACAACTAGAACATTAAAAACACAAATAAATGTTTGTTTCAGAAGGCAATTTTTGAAAGTATTCTTCATTGATTATGCATCATTTTTATTGCTACCAATGAAAGGCTAGCATGATATGGATGACTTCTTTCAATGGATGCAATTCCCTGTTCTTTAAAAGATATCAGTAATCAAATTGTACAACAGAACAATGGCTTAGGCCTCCTTATACAAAAAACACTCCCCAAATACTATCAAATCCTAGATTTCACCCAAAGCCCTATAAAGTCAACAAGAAAACTGGGCCATGCTGCATACAATTTTGATTCAAATTTGTTTAAGACCAAATCTACACTCATGGGGTAGCTACTCAAAGCAGATCTCAGAAATATTTTCTGTTTCAAATTGAATTCAAAGGGAGTTTCAAGTTCTTTACCCTCAAGCTTTTTTCCTTTTAGGGCAAAGAGAAATGGACCATTTAAAAGAGGAAGCTTATTCAAGGATGTGCTGTAACTCAGTAGTAAAAGAATACAGGAATTTGTACTCTGCACAGTAATGTGAACAGCTCATCTTAATAATGTGCCCATTACCAAGGAAAATAAGTTTTTTCAGTATTTGTTTCTGACAAAACACCATTCATTCTAGTAATGGTGAAAACCTAATGCAAAGTTCACAGGCAGAATAATATTTCCATCATTTAACTGAATTTAAGTTATGTATCACTTGCTGTCTCTCTTTCATTTGATTTCCACTAAAAATAGTGAGCTGTAATAATTCATGTGCATCCTTGGGAAATTTCACTCTCACCATCAGTTGTTTCTTTGTTGCCAAGCACCTATATATTAGTAAAGCATTACGATATTGAAAGCTAAAGCCAATACCTCTCTTTTTAAAGGTGATGTTAATTTCCTCACTTTCAGACCATCCCAGTTAAAACCACTCAACCACCTGATTAAAAAGAAATGAGAGACAGACAGGGAGAGACCAAGAAAGACAGACAGATTGTTTGCTGTCATTATACTCTTAACAGCTGAAAAAACAGGTCAACAAGGGCTAAAAGGCATTTTTGCATGACAACTTCTGTCCAAGTGACAACACAGTTGTTAGAAGAAGGAAACTTGAGCGCTGTCATTGCCATATAAGGGACTGGGAGCAGGGGGAGCTTCAAGACCACCAGATCCATTGCATCATCTCTGCATAAAAGTTGTCAAAATGACAGGCAGGTTAATATATGCATAAGCACAGCCATGCAAAGACTTATGCTTCCCCTTGGAATTCCACCCTCTTTTAATAGCATGAGAAGAGGGAGACAAGAGGAAAAGTCAAAGCATTTCTTTTCCCAAGCACAAACTGCAGGCCTTAGAAATAACTCAGATAAAAAGAAAAAGCAGGAAATGTTTAATACACAGAGGATTGTCTTCATTAGAAGAAAGGACAAAACTCTAATACTGCTCTGGAGCTCCTAACTACCATTCTTGAAAAAGCAACTGTTTAAGGGTCGGGAGGTCTGAAAGGCAGATGCTGAAGTGGCAACGATTTCTCTGAGAACTGAATTAAACTCCTACATCATCAACCTGCAACAAAACCAGTAAACAACAAGATGTTTCTAAATGATCGTGCTGAGGATTTATGTTTATATTGTTGCTTGCTATAGTCACAAATATACTAAATAGCAACAGAGATCTCTCTTACGCAATCTGTCTGGAAGTCCCTGGAGCTTTATGGGTTTACCGGATTGGGTTCTAAAATATTGAAAATATTTTCATATTAAAACCCAAATATTTTCTTGACAGTCTCTTTCACTTACCTGTGCTTCTTGATGTCATTAATTCCATTCCTCATATTGCCTAATCTTTCCGTAGGGTTTTGCCTTTAAAAAAAAAAAGAAAAGAAAGAGAGTAAGGATAAGAGTTTAAAAAATATTCTTATTTTTTTAAAAGAGCATTTGTAGGTCTTACAGGTTACAGGTTGTGCATGCCACTATGCCCTAATGCTTCTGAGTTATGCTGGCCCTTTTGAAATACCACCTTTTTTGCACATTTTCAAGTGGGCTTAAGTCAAAGTGCCCTATGATTTCTGTAGGAGCTATATGCTCAAGTAATTTTGGAAGTATTTTTTTAAAACACTGCGTTTCATAATAAAATTAAATTCTTTAGCTCTTTCCTCAGCCCACACTTAAGTTTTCCCTAAGATGTGTTTCAGAAAAAATTCACAGCTACAGAGAAAGCCCAGAGCCTGCATTTCCAGATGATACCTCTGCAGACTAAGAGGTGTGACACATACTCAGAGGCATGCATGTGTACTGAATATAATCAGAATAAACCATGCTAGGTATAACAATTTTAAACGAAGTTGTCAGGAATTAAACACTCTAGTGTGGATCTCAAAAAGCTCAAACTATCTACACCCAGGCTCTGCCACAAACTGCCTCTCCTACCTGCAGAGTCTGCGGATCAAATCCTCAGGCCTCCTTGTTATTATTTTAGGAAAATCCAGTTTTTCAATGCCTTTGAGAATCAAGTTATATGTCATCATTTGATCAGCTCCAGAGAAAGGTGGACTAGAAAAAGAAAGCAACACTGATAAATGGAATGGCTGGCAAGAGCAGACGTGGCCATTTCTCAAGAAAACTAATATTTGAGAATATGGAAAAAGACCCCACCTTCCTAGTTTTACAGCCTTCAGCCTTTCACTCTGCTTAAGATATCAGAAAGGTTTGAAGCTGAGAAGCTACCTCTAGGTACCAGGAAAAACGCATGATCATATGTGTCCCTCTAAGCTAGCTCTGCCTCCAGCCTAACTCGGAGAAGCTACCATTGGGCGTTCACAAAGAGTCGTCATGGAAGTGTGCATGGAGGCAAAGAATGAGCCCTGCTTACAGTTCAGCCACCCCACTGTACTTCGTAACCCACTAAAGGGGAAAAGAACAGTCTGTTGTCAGTTGTTCCTCACAGGAAACATCATCATCAGTTAAAGGAGCTCTGCACCGGCCACTTATAGCTGGTGTCTAGTCCTTTCCTTGGATGGATAAACCAGAATTGAGACTGTGTCGCACACTTTGTGGCATTTCTGAAACGATGGAAGACAAGACATGCATAAAAGGCAAAAAGAAGTATCATTTTGCAAGTCATTCCTGTTTATTGATGGGAAAAAAATCCAAACTGTTTGTTTTAAAAATAACCTTGAAACAGTTTCTAAAAACAAACAAACAAGGTAAGAACTTGGAGTAGGAGGCACTCACCTGCCAGTAAGAAGTTCATACACAAGAATCCCAAGGGACCAAAAATCCACACTGAAGTCATGGCCTTTACTCAGGATGACTTCAGGGGCAACATACTCAGGGGTTCCACAAAACGTCCAAGTTTTCTGCCCTGATCCGATCTTCTTTGCAAATCCAAAATCAACCTGATCAAAATCAACATATGCTGCATAATACAGAGGTGTTTTGCACTGGGAAGCCTTAAGGTTTTAATTGCTTCCTCACCTCCTGCAAAAATCTCAGAATCGCCAGTTTACAGCTAAAACAACTACACAGTGGTGTTGTGAAAGAGAAAAGTAATTCCACTGGATTACTGAGTGTTATAGAACAGATCCATTTATTCTCACAAGTAATTTCCTGAATTATTTTCCTTTTGGATAGAACAACCCATACTTTCCTTGAGGACACGAGATTTACAGTCCATGGAAAATGGTGGATTGCTCATTGTCCTCAGAGTGGATATTTCATATTCTTTGAAGGGTATTATTCTCTTTTCACATTTCACTGTCACACTCAAGTATGGCAGGAGCTCTTTACTGTGATTCCTCTCTACAGAGATAATGTAGAACCTATGATTGCTTGAGGCTGGACAGGGAGGTTAATTCTGCACCTGGGAAATGTGGTTTGTGCCTTTACATTAAGATTCGCGGCTGGGAGAAATTATTTTTGCTGTTTATGCTGTGGCAAGAGCTCTCAGAGGCTGCAAATCCTCAGTTTGTCTGTGGCTTGCAATGGCTTTGCAATGCCCTTGTTTCTCACTGTGCAATGAGTAGCCTGCTCTCTTTCTGCTGAAGCGTAAGGGTTATTAAACTTTGGGATCCTGGTACTATAATTACATGCTGCCTATTTATATCCCTTCTGCAAGAAAACAGGATACAGGCACAAAAGGATAACATTACAAAAGGATTATATCTTACCAGTTTTATATATCCTTCAGCATCCAAAATCAAATTTTCTGGCTTCAGGTCTCTGTAGATAATTCCTATGTGATGTAGATAGTCAAAAGCCTCTGTCACACACCCAACACAGAACTTGGTAGTGACTTCGTCAAAGCTGCCTCTGGAACAAAAATAATCACTATCCTTGCAGACAATTATCTTCTAAAAATGCCTCGTTCATTAACCAGATAATGTATAACACCCAGAATATTAACAGTTTTTTTGCACTGACATTCAGTATATCACTCATGTGGTTGAAAATTGAACCAAACATCTTTTCATAGGGCAGCCCTTAAATAGAGAACCTACTCAACATACAGATGGAGCTGACTGGTAATTTTAAACAACACTGTTCCACTCTGTTTGCTGTTACCTGTCTCTCAGCAAGCTCCACAATTCCCCTCCAAGGCAAGCCTCCAGTAGCATGTATACATACTTACTATCTTTGAATGTGCGATACAGTCTGTGGAGACAAAGAGCAACAATTTAGGAAAAGCAAAATAAAATGCAAGACTTGCAATGTCTTTGCTTCAGAACTCAAATATGCCAAACCTCATTGTTAATAATGCTGTCCAGTGGGTCAACCAGGGGTCAACTTTCAAGGGAATCTTACTGTCAACTTACTTTACAACGAATGGAGAACATATCTGCTCAAGGATTTTCTTCTCAGAATAGATATGCTCTTGTTGTTTGGTGTCCACTACATGTTTCTTCTTTATACACTTCATAGCAAAAGCCATGTTCTCATTTTTCACTTTAACCTGTGAATAAAAATGATAAGTACATGTGAGGCAAAGAAAGAATGTTTTACCAATCTGTTCTCAATAGATATACTGATATCCATCTTTTTCGAGGCAGCACAGGACTGAAATTGATGACTGTAATGAAGGATTAATTCCAGATTTTCTGCAGAACTGTTCTGTGTGATTTTAAGTCAAGCATCAGATCCTTTTAGTGTCCCAGTTCCCACTTGTAAAATGAAATGTTCCCTGTGTTCATTTTATGTATACAAAATAGCAGCAGTTTGAATAGGTACTACATTTTACAGTGAGTTTATAGCACAATGGACCCTAATTTCAATGTAAGATTTCTGACCATTAGCATAACACAAAAGAACAAAAAGCAGAGGCAGTATGAAGAATGTTTGCAAATGATTTTGCATTACCCTGAAATATTATCCAATATGCAATAAAAAGATGGAAGTTAAAACAGGGCTTCCAGGAAACCAAGGAAACAGCTATCAGTGTTCTACAGTTGGCTGAGAATTCAACTTTTAGCTTATTATTCAGGTGATGCTCTAGAATTTCCAAGATGGCAGTTAACCACTGTGGAAATTTGTTTTGTGAAGCATGAGTCGGAATAAAACAATTGAAGGTCTGTCTACTGTAAAGAATTATTGACTTCACTAAAATCACACAATCTTTTAATTTACCATTACCTTCAGCAGTCTGCATATGCAGCATTCACTACTTTTTTTTTTCAAATGTTTGTTACTCAGCCAGAGGAGAGCTGAATTGAAGACTTTAGTCTGATGAAGCTCTTTGCATCCCAGAAACACAGCTGTTCATGCTACTCAAAAGAACCATTACAAATTGTTGGAAATTTGAAAGTCAACACAGCTCAGAGCTTGATCACACTGGTTATAGTTGCTGTGGGGCATACCGAAGCAATTCTACTAACACAGACTATGTGATACCGGAGATTACTTCAAGTCCAGGCAGAATCTTGGGAAAAGGCTTGCAATTCAGGGAACACAAAGCAGGAAGGCACATCTGTAAACTCCACATACACAAACTGTTGAATATATGTCTAGTAAACCAGGAAGATACTTTTAACAGCAGGAGATGGAGGTACACAAGAATGGATTTGTCTCTTTGAACATCGAAGTCTTGAAAATATTTAACTATGCATTCTTCATATAGAATTACCTCTGCCTGAGAGGCACAAGCATACAGAATATTAAAATCCTTCACATTTTTCAGTGGTTAAATCAATCATCTAAGACAGAGAACTACTTGAATATGTTTAAAACAAACTCTTACAAGCTCAACCCTTCCGAACCCACCAACACCCAGAGTTGCAACAACTTCTAAATTCTGGAATGGGGAAGGAGGGAACTGGGCTACTTTCTCCTTCAGCTCTATCATCTCCAAAGAGACCTCTTTGGTCAACTGTCCACAGAAGGATCTTCCTCTGCATGAAGAAAATTAACACAGATTAGTGCTTTACTTGCCAGCAACCTGTATGACAGTACTCTAATACTCCTATAAAAAAAGAAAAGCCTTCTTATTTCCTAACAGCATCTTAATTTTATTTTATGCACAAGCACTTTCTTTTTGGATAGCCTATGGAACTAAATTAGAAGTGAGATGCTACTGAAGTTCACCGAGTACAATCAACGGGATTTTTATCAAGAGCTGATCTGTGGTGACGTTCCCAATTATGCAGTCAGCTGCAAAATTTTGGGCACTTCAAGTTGGAGGACTAATTTCTGAAGGACTGTGCACAATTCCAGTAGAATGATCAGAAATAAAAATGCAGCTCTATTTCTAAACAGAAGAAAAACATACTCTGCTACTCTTCCAATAGTGCTCAGGTAGAAATCAGAGGCAGATAAACTAAAAGTGTGGTCCACAGCTAAAAGGAAACTCTTTAGTGGCACCAGTGCTACACTGAAACATCAAAAATAGACTGTTTCTTTTATGTCTGTGTCTTTCTATTTGAAATGGCAATGAGACTTTTGCACAGTAATACAGTTTCATTAACTCAATTCGGAGTTAAAGTTGACCTTTAAGCGTTTTACCAGTCAAAGAGTTTACCATGAGAATGCAAAAAATTATCTGAGCACACTTTCACTTTTTTCCTGTGCTTAGTTTCTTTCGGATAGAGTGAATTCTTGGTTGGATGTCAATATACTGAGATTCTATGTAATTTTTGTTTCAGAAAAAAATTCTTGGACTCCATGAGCATATCCAGACAATTTCAGACAGTTTTATTATAGTGATTGCTATCATTCCTAGGGGCCCATCTCCAGCAGCTACCATCCATAATTTTACTTCCATATCTATCACTCTTTTTTTTATGATTACCTACTAAAAATGTGCCTAACAAATGATCTGACTTACTTTGCATGCCGTTTTTCATCTGCCTGGGCCAGATTAGCCACATAACCTTCAAGGTAAGTTTGGAGCTCCTCATAAGTTCCAACAGTTTGGTTGAATGTCCTAAAACCACAATTGAAACAGTATAATCTACTGAACATATAGTGGAAAGAGAAAGAAAGCAGTATCTGTGCTGCTGCATCAAGGCTTTACATTGCCTCTAATTCACGACCCGGACTGAGCTTCACACTATTGCTTTGACAGCACAAATTCTAAGAGCTTTGAAAAGGTGGTAATCAGCTGAAATACCAAACTTGGTTTGCCAGAGGGTAGAAGGACAGAGTGCCTGATGTCCTCAGGTCATTTCATGTTATGTTTAAGTAATTCGGAGTAGGCTGGGCGTACTTTGCCTCCCACACGCACTATGGTTATAAAGTGTGGTTCCACCATCGCTACCACAGGAACCAGCTTGGCATGAGTCCAGGTTAACAGTCCTTCTGTCCCAACGGACAGAGAGAGCCCTTGGTACACAGTGCCAAAGTGACTGAGATCACCTCTCCCACTTCACAGATGGGTAACAGCATTGTGGGAAGAACAGACTTAGAATAGACTATTTAATTTGGAAGGGACCTACAGTGAT